TTCCTATTCTGAATTTAGGTAAATATTCACCCATTTCTTCCAATTGTTCTATTTTATTAATTGCCATGGTACAATTTAAGTAATTATCCTCCTTTTTCTCACTGATTTGAATTGACAATTTTATCATGTGCTAAAAATCAATACTCTTATGTCTGTTTTTAAATTAACTTTTTATTTTGAAATATTATAATTTCAGATTTACACAGAGCTATAAGAATTGATCTTCACCCAGATACGCTAATTAACTTCTTGCTGCATTTGCTTTGTCCTTCTTTCCCCCCGTCCCTCGGCCTCCTCCCATTGCAGACAGGCAGGCAGGCAGGGGGGACAGACTACGTGGACAGCAGATGGCTGAGTGGCGGGTGGACGGGTGACTGACAGACACATCACGTGCCCCGACCATTTGAAAGCACGTTGCAGACATCACGCTGCTTTACCTCTGAAAAACAAAGACGTTCTCCTACACACAGCCGCAGTAAATGGTCAAATCAGGAAGCACAACATCAATAAGTCCTAGACTTTATCACATTTTGCAGTCATCTCTTCCAGCCTGAGAGCCGGTCCCAGATCCCACGCCGCATCTGGCTCTGGTGTTTTCATCCTCTAACCTGGAACACTTGCTCAGCCTTCCTTTGTTTTTTTTGAAAAGTGCAGGCCAGCGTTCTGTAGACTGTGGGTCTGTCTGACACCGCATCATTGTTAGAGTCAGGTTCTGCATTTATTTTGTGGTTTACTACACAGTTGCCATGCGTTACCCGTTTCTGATTTGGTGCCATACTGCTTTAAATATTGTAGCTTTGTGATATATTTTAATATCTCTTAGAACAAGTTTGCCTTTGCTTTATAAAATTTTCTTGGCTATTTTTTCACATTTATTCTTTATTGGGTGTGTTTTATTTATTTATTTATTGTTATTTCTGAGACAGTCTTGCTCTGTCACCCCAGCTAGAGTGCAGCAGTGTCATCATAGCTCACTGCAGCCTCAAACTCCTGGGCTCAAATGATCCTCCTGCCTCAGCCTCCGAGTAGCTGGGACTATAGGCACATGCCACCATACTCGGCTAATGTTTCTATTTTTAGTAGAGACGGGGGTCTCACTCTTGTTCAGGCTGATCTTGAACTCCTGAGCTCAAGTAATCCTCCCGCCTCAGCGCCCAGAGTGCTGGGATTACAGGCGTGAGCCACCACGCCCAGCCTATTTATTTATTTTTCCTATAAATATCGTAGATTTCTAAGAAGATACAATCACCAGTGTAATGAATGCCTGTGTTTACATCATCCAACTTAATAAACAGAACGTTACAAAGTCAAACTCCTTTGAGTGTCTCCCCCTCCCTCACCCTCTCCAGACTTAGGTCCTGAGTCTACTGTTTCTGTTTCTCTCAGTGGGTGTTTGAAAATCTGCTGTGTCCAGCCATGTGTTTCTTTCTGCACATTGCTTTGGTTCAGCTGTATGTTTTGGGATATTCCATGTTGATCCGTGCGGCTCTAGCTCAGGGCTTGACTCACTTTTCTCACAGAGGTCCAGAGAGTACATATTTTTGGCCTTAAGGGCCACACAGTCTCTGTTGCAGCTTCTCAAATCTGCTTCAGCCTGAAAGCAGCCAAGACCACATGTAAAGAGATGGGCAGGGGTGTGTTCCGGTCAGACTGCGTGGACCTGGAGATTTTTTTTTTTTTTTTTT